AAAAAAAAAAAAAAAACATAGCTGAGTTCCTTTTTTATTCTTTTTCTTTTTTTTGGGGGGGGGCCTTTTTTGGGGTACAATAATTGAGAGCACGGAAGCAAATTTTAAAAGCTAGTGACCAAAAGTTTTGTGACAATAAATCATGATTAGTTGAATGATCATTGAAAGTTCGTCATTACTTATACATTCTAAAAGGATAATCTATACATTGCATTTTTAAAAATATATGCTACAAAATTGTTGAAAAAATCATGTTATATTCTAATTGTACTCGCTATTTTGTTTCAGAAAAGATAGATAATTACTAGTATTATTTTTATCTTTTATTCGAATGCTCACCACATTGGAACTAGCTAGGCTGTCAATAAGGAAATATTCTAATCTAAGAAAAATAATAGAAAGCAAATATAGAGAAAGGTTGATAATTTAAACAGTAAAATAATTATTACTTACTATTTTTATTTAAACATGTGATGACCCAAAAGGTCATCTTATGTTTTAGAACTCGAATCTGCGCTCTTAAACCTTAAAAATCTCATTTTTAGAATTTCCCATCTTCTTCCACCATCCGCATGCAAAGTTCACTTGTCAAGCTCATGTCGCATCAACCAACTATAGGCTCTCTCGTCTTCCTGCCTGATAGATTCCATGTGCCTCCGGAATTTATGCTCTTGGTGGTCTGTTGCTGCCATCCACATCAAATCATGCAGATCCTTGTTGGGATGTGTCTTCTAGAAATTGGCCTTCAGGTGCCTCACACAGTAACGGTGGTACGCATAAGGTTCTTGCCATGCAGGCAAATTCTCTACAGAACTTAAGATACCACCATGCCGATCAGATATTAGACAAATACCGAAACGCTGTTTGATAACGTGCTCTTTCAAATGGTTCAAAAATAGTGTCCACGTTTCTTGGCTTTCATTGGCACAAATAGCAAAAGCTAGAGGAAATATTTGTCCATTAGCATCTACTGCAACGGCGATCAACAGCTTGATATCATACTTTTCATAGACATGAGTGCCGTCTATCGATATTACCGGCCAGCAATGCGGAAAACCATCAATTGCTGGTTTAAATGCCCAGAACACGTAATTGAATATATATTCTAGTCTTCCCGGACTCTGCTCAAGCTTCCATTCAACAACCGTCCGGGGGTTAAAGTATTGCAGTACGGCCATGTACCTGGGTAAAGCTGCAAATGACCTATCCCAGTTACCATAAACAATTTCAAACGCACGTTTGCGCCCGAGAAATACCTTTCTTTTGGTAATGGTATGGCCATATTCCTGGTGGACTGATGTAATGCACTCTTTGATCTTATACCTTATGGATGCTTCAAGGTGTGGAATAAGGACAAGAGAAATCAAGTCAATATCCAAGTTGTAGTGATTCCCATTGAATGTGTCCATTTCACATATGTGGGTGAGAATATATTTACACACTTTCCACAGACCTATATTCTTCTTGCTCGCATGCAGTATCCAATGACAACCCGTAAACCATCTGCGGCAAATAACCTTGTATACATCCGGACTTGACTCCCATACCGTCATCTCACGACACTCTTTTACGCTGTA